AAAAATGCTAACGGGGTGTTGCAAAGAAACTCACTCATAACAGCCTTATTACTTATCGTAGCTGCACGTCCAACCCATCGATCTGATCGTGAGATGACACAGAATCGATCGGCACCTACATCATCACTCCATGAAAAGAACTAGTGAAGCTATTAATAGGAACAGACATCAAAACATGTGGCGCTAGGTAGCTAGAAACGGCAACATGGCTCACCTTGGTCGTTGTCTGGTCAAAAGTGGTCTTCAATGGCATTAAAACGATAAAAACGCTGCTGAAGTTAATCCATAGGTTAATCCAATGTGCCTGTGTCCCTTTGAAATGATTTCTGATAATCCATAAGCAATAAAACTGCTTTCCCGTTTCCAGATGTCAGAGCGAGAGATAGGTTCACTCTGATGCAAACCTGCATACGCAAAGCCCCCACCTCTTTTTTTATTACCATGTGTGTGCGATTCTATTGGCTCTAACTGTCAAAAAGAGATGGCAATCACCAAAATCGACCAATGGGTTCCAGAGAAACGGTAAAAACGCCTACTTCCACCCAAATCACCTCAGAGGTGGAGTTGTTTTTGCTAAACCTCCCTAAAAAGGTGAAATGTCACTTGTTTTGCATCAATCTTGATACAGGGCACTTATTATATGTTTTAATTTGGATTTTTAAAGCTTGTAGTCTACCTTACGATCATCCAAGGGTAGTTTTCACTATAAGTAAAAAGGAATTTTTGGACGGTCAATATAATTTACAGTTTTTTACTATGTTCAATCTGAATTCTCTTTAAAATTAAAAATATCTATATTGATTCTGACTTTTCTACATCCAACTCACAGGTTTATCATTACTTTGATAAAAAAGATTATTAATTTTCCCCTTTTAGAAGTATAGTTATGGTCATTTGTTCTGGAAATGTCATTTTCGAGCCCGAGACCTGAAAAACAGGCTCAGTGCTTAACAGGTTAAATATTTATTATCACTATTAATTTATCTCCAGGTATATTACCGTTTACCTGTCAGGGCTTTGAAATGTAAAAAATAATCTGCTGATCCATGAAACAGCAGAACATTTTAATAAACAAAACTGTGGGGAAGTAAAAAAGAATAACTACTTGTTCATCTCTCTCCCTCTTCCTACCAGACTCAAGGGCTCAATGAAACGAGGAGACTGGCATAAGACGAAGGAGATCCTACTGAAGGGCACAGACTGGATCCTGAATGAGGTGAAAGTCTCAGGGCTCCGAGGCAGAGGAGGAGCAGGCTTCCCCACCGGCATGAAGTGGGGCTTCATGAACAAACCCAGCGACGGCAGGTAGGAGAAGAAACAATCCAGATCAGTCAGAGTGACTGTAGGAGCCACACCAGTAATGACACTCTGGTGATCCATGTTTCCTTCTTTCCTCAGGCCTAAGTACCTGGTGGTGAATGCTGATGAGGGGGAGCCTGGGACATGTAAAGACCGGGAGATAATGCGTCACGACCCCCACAAGCTGATAGAAGGCTGCCTGATTGCTGGGAGAGCCATGGGAGCCCGCGCCGCGTACATTTACATCAGAGGAGAGTTTTACAACGAGTCTTCAAATCTACAGGTGAGCTGTTGTGGAAAAAACATTTAGGCCAGTACTGTGTTTAAGAATGGGCATTTCAACTTTACTTGAGTGTTTCCTTCTTTTAAACCTTTCTACTTCCACCCCCCTTATGAAAATAAAATGAAGAAACATTTTTTTGATTTACTTTCAATAATGTTTGGACGTTTGGTTGAACAAAACCAAAATTGTTCCCTTTTGGCTTTGCTTTATTGTGATGGCATTTGTAACTATTTTCATAATGTTTGCAATAACAATCAAATTCTATAAAACATAATAGTAACAGAAAAAATAGACAATTATCTGTATTTTGTACTTTAACTTTTAACTATATTTTCAATATTATACTTGAATTCTTTTAACATCTTTATTGCAGGATCTTGCAACAGAGTATACTAAGAGTGTTGTTTATGTGATCTAAATATGTCCTCCACCACTGCAGGTATACAAAGGCACAGACGGGTGACTTGTCAATCCACGAATGATGTATTGTTTTCATTTGTTTTTTGTTTCAACTCCTCAAACAGGTGGCTATCAATGAGGCATACAAAGCAGGGCTAATGGGGAAGAACGCGTGTGGCTCTGGCTTTGACTTCGATGTGTTTGTGGTGCGAGGGGCCGGAGCCTACATCTGCGGGGAGGAGACGGCCCTCATCGAGTCTCTTGAGGGCAAACAAGGAAAACCCAGACTCAAGCCGCCATTCCCTGCAGACATAGGTGAGGAAGAAGCTCCACAGCCTCCTACATCCAGTTTCCATATTGGAGTTAATTGCAGTTTAGAGACTGCAAACTCAGGCTATATTGTAGTTACAGTCCTTTTGTGCATGGTTGGATTACGGGATAAAGGGCTTCTGTGTACTGACTCGGAAAAGGCCCCACCACTTCTCCTACAAAGGAGTAAGACACACAGACTTTATTTTTGTTCAGCCTCTTTTAGTTGTTGTTTTGTGTCTCTTTGTAGTCAGTACACATATCTCCTTCTGGTTTTATGTCTCTTTGTGTTACTCTTTAATTGGTTTGGTCTTATTTCTGTCTGTTTGTTGTGCCCTTTCTGAAAGCCTTTCTGTTTCTCTTTTTGGTTATTTTGAGTCTTTTGAAGGTTGTGTTTTGCACCGTAACATAGTGTCGAAATGTCTTTATTATATTTAGGCTCTATTAAGCCATTTCTGTTGTGATTGTATTAGACTTTTTGTAGTTTTTTAATGTTTCTTTAAGGTCAGGTTTAGTCTCTTCCTGGTTGATGACTTTTTACAGGTGAAGGCAAGGGGGTCAATGACACTTTTGGCCCTGGGCGTGCCCGGTAGGCCCATTCAGTAATCCATCAATGCTTAAGTGATCACTCAATGCTTCATCTCTCTCCTTTAAGGGGTGTTTGGATGCCCGACGACGGTTGCCAATGTCGAGACGGTTGCTGTGGCGCCTGCAATCTGTCGTCGAGGGGGAGCTTGGTTTGCCAGCTTTGGGAGGGAGAGAAACTCCGGGACGAAGCTGTTCAACATCTCGGGTCACGTGAACACACCATGCACGGTGGAGGAAGAGATGTCTATTCCTCTGAGGGAGCTCATAGAGAGACACGCAGGTAGGTGTGTGTGTGTGTGTGCCTGCCTGCCTGTGTGTGCCTGTGTGTGTGTACAGTGGTTTACTTTATCAGAGGTTGACATGACTTCTTCTCTCTTCTTGTGTGTTTGGTTCAGGAGGGGTGAGGGGCGGCTGGGATAATCTATTAGGAGTGATCCCAGGGGGGTCCTCCACTCCCATCATCCCTCGCCATGTGTGCAATGATGTATTGATGGATTTTGATGACCTGGTCCGTGCAGAGACAGCACTGGGAACCGCTGCCATCATAGTTATGGATAAATCGGTAAACTGATCCCTGAATAACTCACATGACACATGACACTCTAACCCCAGTAACAATCAGTCTGGAAAGATATTCTGAGAAATGTGTTCTTTCCTCCAGACTGACGTGATCCGAGCCATCGCACGATTGGTGGAGTTCTACAAACATGAGAGCTGTGGCCAGTGCACCCCCTGCAGAGAGGGTGAGGAACAGCACAATGGACCAAGAGTCACCACCATGAAGTTACATTTACTATATAATGCATACCCTCACCTTGATCCTTCTTAGAAACAATAGGGCCTCAGTATTGTTTTGGACGTCTTTCTCTCTGTCCACAACACTCAGTGAGAGAAGTGCTTAAAGTCATTATATATAACAGTACCCTGCCGGAATCAGATCTCCCTTAACTTTTACAACACATTACTTGTTAGGTGGGAGAAATACTACATCTATTTATATTTATGTAAAAATAAACACTACTGTCATTTAAAAATATTACTAGCAAGAAGATTAATACTTGAATAGGTATACTGTGGGAAAATGTGACTTTTTAAACAGCCATTTCCATCTTATCATCCCTTGTTTTTTTTCATTGTGATTTCCTTACTTTTTTTGCAAACAATAGTATGTCAATTATTATATTACTAAGTGTACTGAAAACCCAATAAATACATTGGGAAATTGAGGGCAGGGCTCAACTATGGTGTTGCATTCACCATTTGTACTTCTTTAGAAATGAGAATTGCTAAGTATTAAACTAAATGAAACTAATGTGTGAAGAGAAAATTACTGTTATTTCTTTGGTACGTTATTCCTGCCATGTGTGTATTTGCCATAAATCCAGTATGTGGTTGAAACAATGGTTAAAGGTTTCCTCTCTGTCCCGCCCCTCAGGAGTGGACTGGATGGACAGCATGATGTGGAGGTTTGTTCGAGGAGACGCAGCAGCTTCAGAGATCGATATGATCTGGGAGCTCAGCAAGCAGATCGAGGGGCACACCATCTGTGCCCTGGGGGACGGGGCGGCGTGGCCCGTGCAGGTAACATCTCTGGAGTGTTTTTATAGCTGTCAGTGAAACAGTGACTAAGGGTACAAGTTCAAACAAGAACCAATTTATATTTTGACACCTTTATCCCTCTTTGCCTTTCATTTTTCATCTACAGGGTCTGATCCGCCACTTCCGGCCGGTCATGGAGAGCCGCATCGCTCAGCATAACGAGAAAAACCCTCCGAGAGAGCCAGATATAGAGATGGTTTAAAACTGTGCAGGTGTCAGTTTCAACTGTCAGTCCTTCATAGCTCTAACAATAGCATTATACAACATAAGTATTGTGGACATTATTTGTAACATTGTTTTAGAAATGAAAATACATATGTACTGATTTGAAGTTGGACTGCTTAAAATGATTGTTCTTCCACATTTTAAAGTTCATGTTTTTCATGAAGATAAGGTCTGTTTTTGGTGATTTGCAGCAAGTTTGTCACTTAATCCACTTTTTATTTTGGCAAGCAGAACTGTTGACAGATTTTGGCAGATGGGAGGTGTTGATGATGTGAAAAAAATAGACCTTACAAAGAAAGACAAGCTCAAACACAGCAATAAATTAAGTTTATTTATTTCATAAAAGCATGAAATAAATTAAATAGGTTTACTACATATTAGTCCAATATGATCTGTACAAAATCACCAGAAAAGGAAGAGTTGGTGTCACTGACTTCAGGGCAGGGAGTAAGGAAAGGGGGTGACAAAGTACAAAAAGCTGTACTAGGGATAAAAAGAAAAAGTGATAAGTGATGTGCAACATCAATGCCTTTAGATATTGTTTTGTAACAAAGTAACACTTTCCAACACTTCACTTGGCATTGTTTTCCGGACCATTCTAAATAAAACTGCAGGCAGAATATCGCTCAGCGGACCATCTCTATACAGCCACAAAATATTTTGGATTGTCCTTCCTGCAAGTGTTCATCCTCAAACTATAGTGTGCTAAACAAACAGTCCTCCAAAACATTAGAATGCCCATTTCGACCCAAGCACTAAGTCAATGCTGCAACCAACACGTAGGGAGTCATCCCTGTGATGAGTGGAGGAAAAAAGACGGTTTGGGTGAACATCCTGTAAGACTCGGCACAACGCACTGAGGGAGTTTAGATTCTTCCTGTTTTAGGGGGCCATCCAGAAAGGCATGGACTGCTGCTGTGGCTGTGTTTTAGCACGGGGGAGCGGTGGAGGAGGGCAGTGGTAGCCCTGAGTCCAGCCTGAGGAGGAGGGGGGGGCTGCCCCAGGGTTACCTTGCCATGAGGCTTTGGAGGTTGAGTGGTCCTCCTCTTCATCAGAGGAGTCGCCGCTGTACGCCACCAAACCAGTTTTCATTCTCTTCACCGAGGGCTCTGAAAGAAGAAGAGAGGAAGCACGCAGAAGAGAGGAAGAGGCGGCACATTTGGAGAGAGAAACATGGGGAGAGAAAAAAACAACACAAAACAGCAGCAACATGTTTCCAATAGGACAGATTTAAGTTCATTACAAACACATTTTGGGAGAAACAAATAGTTAATAGATTTAAATCATAGTTTGTCAGCAGGGTAGAGGAGAGGGAAGTCATTCGCCATTGGTTGGTGGGGAGCGACAGTGTGAGGGCCGTCCAATCGAGCGGCAGCGTAGCATGACGAGTCGTACCCCACCCCCAATCAGAATCCAGCATCATCCCAAAGATACATGGAAGAGAAGAAGAACACAGGGAAAAAGAGAAAAACACAAAAACAGGAGAGATTCTTGTTAGTGAGGAAAGCAAAAAGAAACTATGGACAAACCCCGGACTGATTATGTCATCAGAACGGGACGGCAAGGTTGACTCGATTTATCAGACAAAGGATTGTACAATGCACAAAAGATGTTGATTCTTAGCTCCGCCTCACTATCTGGAGATTAATAGTCACAGCAGCAGAATCCTGCAAGGATCATAAGAAGCCCAATAGAGAGGGTGGGGGTATTTAACTAATCTGCCACAAACACTTAATATATAAACCCAAAGAAATACAAGCTTTTTAGGGCCAGCTAAGTCTTCTTTATAAATCTACTTGGGCTGTATGTAACATATACAGTATACCTCTTCAATACTTTCAAGTAAAACCACTGAAGTGGCCCCGGAGAGGATTTACAGGATTTACATTTTCCTCTTGCGGCCCTACATTAAGGCTGAGAATAGATCCAGGCTGAGCTTATAAAGGACACAGTCCACAGTCAGGAACTGTGGATTTGGATTTGGGCAGGGATTTGTCAGTCCACATGATAATGCCCTTACCCACGGGGCCTTGCGGTGCTCTTTTCTCCTCCATCTTGGGTCTCACTCCGTTCACAGGCAGCAGGGGTGGAGGCATTAGCTGCCGACTGGAGAACCAAAGAGAAATGGGGTGAGTTAACTCCGCTTACTGGCACATTATTCATATAATCAAGAGATACAACCATTGCAATTTACTTGGCCAATTCCATTATCTGATATTTTTGCCAATTCAGATTCTCAGACCTAGAATTGACAGCATACACTAACACATTGGCAACATCTCTTTCACTGAACATTTCAATTCAATCATACGGTCCCGTAATTTTCGGACTATAAGGCGCACCTGAATATAAGCCGCAGCAGCTAAATTGAATGATGTGTACATATATAAGCCGCACTGGACTATAAGCCGCAGGTGTTTTAATGTTTAATTACCATATGTAAGGGTTCGTGCACAGAGGGGATTGTCGGGAAAGAGATGGCCGTTTGAGGAAGCTCCCATTTATTAACATTTCAACAAACAAGTTGCATATTTGCATAACGTATTCAAGTGTTACCATTTAGTGCAATAGTAGCTACAGAACATGTACTGTGTAAACTGTACTGTATCACATAGCGTTTCAGACACACAAACTTTTCAACTTTCAAACTTAAACGGTGCGCTCCCAGCGCACGTACCGGCAGTGATCTACAGCAGTGGTTTTCAACCAGTGGTACGGGGACAAACTGTCTCGCTCTCGTAATGTCTGTCTGTCTTGCTCTCGTTCTGTCTCTCGTACCACTCTCGGTTCCACTTTTACTTTTGCGCGCTACCTGTCTCACTCTTTTCCGGCCTCCAGCGTTTCCTGCTGGAGACTGTAACCTGTAAAATCCATAGATTTAGGAGGTCCCCTAGTGGCCGTTAGCTTTAAAAATCCATAGATTAGCCGCACCGTTACATAAACCGCAGGGTCGAAAAATGGGAAAAAAGGCGCGGCTTATAGTCCGAAAATTACGGTACATACATTTCTTTATAATGGCACTAAGTTACAGGACCTTAAGGATGTCAAAGCCTTTTTTTTTTAAAAAGGTCCTTCCATGTCAATTTGGACTTACACATGTTGAGGAACTTCCAAAGCGATGACATAATATGAGTTTGTTGCTATGACATAATTGTCTGTGCGTAAATTATGCATAAGAATGATTGGGTCTGATCATTGGCTGATGGGTGGTGGCCTTTCTTAAACAGATATAACAGAACTCTGTGTACCTGTCCCTCTCACTCGGTGGGCCAGAGGAACTCTGTGTTGGGGGTCCTGCAGTCTCCGGGCTGCCCACTGGGAAGCCTGCACCTAAATTAGTCATATGAATGGGTCCATGCTATGAGCAGAAAAACACACAGGCGCAATTAGCACACATCCTTCACTAAACCCTGTCCTGACACTAACTAATGTGTCTCAACTTTATCAGTACCAAAGGCAAAAATCATTGTGAATAGCTTACCACAAGTCTGATTACTCAGACATTGTCCCCAGCCACTATGAAAGATTCTTGAAGCTTATCAGTATTAAAAAGACCTTTTTCTGAAACTCCGTATTAAAGACAAAGATAAACTGGAAATGCACAGCAGCAGGAAACAGCCATGCACTCTTAACCAATGAAGGTCAAGTATTTAAAGAAAGGAAAATGGAATGGTATTAGATAAATCGCCAGAGAGCTTTGATATGATGGGCTGATTCAAGTGATTTAACACACACATGCACTTCGGTCAAAGCATTGGGATATAAAACAAAGGCCAAGAAACTATGTGAAAAAAGGACTAACCATAATTTAGTCGATTAATCGGCCAATTGTACATAGATTGATTAATCAATCTTTTGACCTATAAAATGTCATGAAAATCGTGACATTATCAAAATGGTTAGTGATGATTTTGCTGTTTATTGACTAATGGTAGCTCTAAGCAGAAGGGTGCAAAGTAAAAACCAGCAGAATCATGAGGGGTGTAGAGCTGTGTATTACCTGGTACCCGAGTAGGCCGCTGTTCCTCTCGTCTGGGACCTCCTCTGTGAAGCGTCTCTTCTGAGGTGGGTTGACTGGAGCGGCAGCAGGTGGAGCTTTGGGTGGCGCTGCAGCTGATGGAGGAAAAGGTACAGGAGGAAGAGTCTGCAGAGATGGAAAGACATTTAGTAAGTATTGTTGCTCTGCATGCTACACACGTGTGGTTTCAATGGCTCGATCCTACCTGTGGCATCGTGCCTGAAGCAGGAGGTGCAAGGGCAGGAGCCGGAGCGAGGGAGTGTGAGGGAGCAGGGAGGGGGGCGGGGGGGAGGGAGTACTGAGGAGGCACGCCTGCAGGATGTAAAGGGGGAGGGACAGTGTAAGGGAGAGAGACAGGATGTGGCTGAGGTGGTGGTATAGGCATGGCGTAGCCTTGCTGGTATCCAGCTGGGGGGTAATACGGAGGCTGCGGAGGCATTCCATTCACCATTTGAGGCTGAGCAAAGCCTGGAGGAGGAAGAGAGAGAAACAGATGAAGTCAGGCTCTTCCCATGACTTCTATCAGCTGTGTTGCCAAATCAAGTGATACATCTAAACCACAGAAAGACAACTCCCGTTAACAACGTATTTATTTACCGACGTCCTTCCAGTCACACGTCGGGTCAGGGTTAATTTTGTTAAAGTAGTAATATAAAGCAAGTCTTGCCCAGTACCATCACTGACATGTCCCCTAAAGACCAAATGATGAACACACCAACTTTGAAAAACTGGTATAGTGTACCTTGTTGTGTTGGCATCATTGAGCTCATTTGATTGAGAAAGCGGGAATACTCTGCATGGACCTAGAGGAAGAAAAGCATTGTATGTAAGGCTTGTTAGTGGTTCAATTAAAATATAAAAATGTACTATTGATACTGATACTATTATATCATTATTTAAAGACAACGCAAAAAGTGTAAAATCTAACGTGTCTTTGTTATGGAATGAATGATCATTAGAAGGGCCAAAGTTGGTTGATAGCTATGATTGTGCTTGGGAGAGTAAGCGTGCATTTGGAGATGTACATGCTCGTTTTGAAAGTATTGCAGTTTAACATTTCAAAGTAACAAGAAATTACTCACCGTCTGAAGCAGGTTCTCACACAAAGTTTTTGCTGCTGCAAGTCCTTCTGGTTTAGGATGACTGGAGAGAAAACAGACTGCATTTAGTTCTACTCCAACTGCAACTCCAACATATCCAGAACTCTGCTGCCCGCCTCCTCACCCACACCCGCTCCCGAGACCACATCACTCCCATCCTCCAGAACCTCAACTGGCTCCCCGTCCGTCAATTAATCCACTTCAAAGTCCTCCTCATTACTCACAAAGCCCTCAACAATCAGGCCCCCCCCTACCTCACAGACCTGCTGCACCACCACACCCCTTCCCGCTGCCTCCGCTCATCAGAAGCCAACCTCCTATCCATCCCCACCCGCACCAATCACCGGACCTGGGGGGACAGAGCCTTCTCCGTCGCTGCCCCCTCCCTCTGGAACTCACTCCCACAACCCATCAGAGACTGCACCGACCTCACCACCTTCAAAAAACTCACAAAAACTCACCTCTTCAATCCGGCTTTTAATGTGTGATTGTTTTTGTATTATTTGACTTTAACTTTATATTTATTTGTTGTTCCTTTCTTCTTTCTTTTCTCTTCACTATTATCTGTAAAGGGTCTTTGAGCACCTGTAAAAGCGTAAACAAATTAAATCTATTATTATTATTACTGAACCTTTGTGCTCATCCAGTTCATATTATTGCACAAGCAGGAACCCTCTCTGAAAAGCAGATGTTCTTAATCTTTATTGATTAATAGGACACCCACCTGATGTAGATGTACATGGGTTCAAAGGCCTCTCGTCCAGAAGCAGGCTCTAAACAGCCTGATCCTTTTCCTCTGAGGAAGACTTTGGCCCCAGTCTCCGCCTGGATGTGCTGCAGGTACGAACACCCGGGGCCCTCCACACGCTCTTTGACCACAAACCCCAGGATAGCGTGCTCCAGGCCCACAAAGAGTTTATCTTGAACATAATGCATCTGAGAAAGGAAATGTATCATAAAAGGCATAAATACAACTATATCCTTCGCTGTAGGCAAGTACATATATTGTGCAACACTTTCATTTCTTACTAAGCTTTTCATGGTAGTATCATCTAGGACTACTTCACGTTTGTTTAAAAGAACAAAAAGTTGTCTATACTAACATGAATAAAAAGCATTTCACCTAACCGCATACACTGGGTATTCACATGCTTCTCCATGTAATTGTCACAAATCTCAACAAACACCAATAGCATTTGAAATGCAGAATTTAACTGCACAAAAGCAGTTATCATAGCCAACAATAGACAACAATATTAACCACTATAAGTTGGGGCTAATGTCTGTTTTCTTTAGAAAAAGTGTCATGTGATAGGAGGATGACAAACCGGAAAAGGCCGTTTGTAAATGATAGACCCAGGAATTAAGTGTTGGTGAGTGTGTCATCATTAATTGTTGTCTACGTTTCTGCATGTCCAGAATAAACACTAAAAGAGTGGATGTACCCTTAGTTCACAAGTTGTAAGAAGACAAAAGAAAGCCGGACTCACCCCGGACTGAAAGTGTGGTTTGTGGTGGGTTATGGGGGGCAGTGATGGAGGAGGTAGGTTGTGCTGCTGGTAAACTGTGACTGAAGCCCCACCAGGGGGGAAAGATGAAGAGGATGATGAGGCAGTTGCAGCCTTCACCACACCGTTGGTGATTATCTCCTTGATTCTGTTAACTGCCCCTGGATAATGAGGGGGAAATAAAACGTTAGTCTTATCACATCATATATGAAGACATATATCATAAAAGACTTAGGAAAAAGTACTGACTGTCGACAAGCTCCCTAGTCTGTCCTTGGACATGCAGATACAGAGGTCGATCCCTGTGGAAAAAGAGAGAGGTTGTGTTAGATATAATAATTAAAGCAGCAGGATAACTCGTTTTTTGTATCAGTATCTGAAAATAGTAGGCGAGAGTCACCCTGGTAACGCTTTGCCCTTCTCATCTGCCGCCATGTAACGGCCTCTGGTTGATACGGCAGCACCACTCACTTTACTGATCTGCAGACAAACCAGTGAGATAGGATTCATGTCAATAGATACTCCACAAAGTCAGTGAAGATTGTAATTCTGTGAAAGGTGATTGTTTGTACTGCTGCTGACCTCATCCTGAGTTTGTCCACGTGTCAGCAGATTCCGGCAGTTGATCGGGACGTCGTTGATCTCCACCTCAGCGACGACCAGGTCATCTTTGGCTTTTGTTTGAACTGGAGGCTTCCAGACACCCACAGCCTGAGAAAGGGTAGTCAATAAATAAAGTATGAGTCACTCCAAATTAATTAGGGCCACAGTCACAAAAAAACCAGACCATGCGAATAATTTGTGTTTAACATTGTGATAACACTGAATAATTATTTTACAAAATAAATAGCAGTTGTTGAAGAAAAATGTTCAAGACAGCAATGTGCAGATATTTGTGATTTATATTGGGACCCAAGAATATCAGTTTCTGCCAGACAGTAAGTTAGAAAATGTATGTGTAAATGACATGTTTGCTTGCTTGTTTCCAGTATGTTTATGTGCCATTTTAAAAGTGGTAATACTATTTTCATGATTATCAGGATCAACATGACATGAAATACTGTCTGGATTTCCCTACTCATTGTTGACAAATGTATAAAATATCACACTATAATGTGTATTCTAATCTTTTTAATTGTTATTGTACAATGCCATGTCTTTTATGCTGCTGCAACACACACATTTCCCAAATTGGGATCAATAAAGTACTATCTTATCTTATAACATATAGCCCACCTCTATACGAGATACTCCAACAACAGAGCTAATTGTATTTTAAAATACCAGGCATATCTGCACATCACGCTCCTCATTACCTTGTCAGGGGGTCCCGGGACGCCTATCTGTGAGGGTTTCAGTTTTCCTTTAGCTACTAACATAGCATTGATCTTGGCAGCCACCGCAGCTGCAGCATCCAGAGCCCCGGTGGGAGCAGACTCTGCCTCCCCCATCCCACCGGAGCAGGGTCCGGGGCCGGGCTGGTCCCATTTGCTGCGGCGACTGTGTGGACAGAAAAACATGACAGAACAAAACATTAGCACAAGCATTTATAGCTGAACTAAGCCTTTATTTCACTGGTGACCTAAGGTACCCTGAAAACACCTGACGTTAGCCGTTGACTTGTATTGTTGATGTTTTTGAAATCGAAGAAGTGAGCATTTCATTCGTATATGTATGGCTTTTTATGATTTTATTTGGATTTAGTATGCAGAGCAGGCACACTGTTAACCGCTGTTTTATTTTAAAATGTATATAACACGTAACTACAGAATAGCTAGCATGAAACAGCGCGAATCTGCCCGTCAACACTCCGCCATGATTACATAAAGTGGCTGTTAGCTAGCCTGCTAACAGAAGGCATCTAGACGGTCAAATACCACGATAAAAATATAAAAACTGCCCGTTTTCAAGCACTCACCCGCCGTTTTGGATTCCACCAAATGACATCAATATCCTGTCAAGCGGAAAAGTTCTTCTCAGTGTTCAAATGAAGGTGAAAAAACTATTTTTCTGCACGGTAGTCTGTGCTGGTTGCTAGCATGGATGTAGAGAGAATGTTGCTAACCACCACTGGTGCGTACTCGCTGTTTCCGCCTCCGGGTAATGTTGTTTTCTTGCAGTAACTCCACATGGAGGCGCCAGATACCAGCACATATTCAAAGACGGCATCCAAAAGGTTCAGATGTGGTGCTGCGGCCTCACCTGTCCCACCTTTCATCACTTCCGTGCCACCCTTGGCGAGTTTCCCCAGAGGAGGCATCACAGTTTCCATTGGAGAAGACGCCTTGAGCCGAAGGACATGCTTCAGGACATTAGTCAAGGTAGGTGTACTTTATGGAATTACTCAAATAGTTTGTCTTGTACCTTTTGAAACACGTGTCAGGTTTGTGTTTATAAATTGATTTGTGCTGGGACTCCTGACAGATTTGCTTTGTGGGCGTTTGTTATATTAAGGAAAATAACAGTAGAATGCGTCTAGTTAAATGTTCCTTTATTTTGAATGCACGGTTCCTTGGCATTTTTCAGGTTTTACACCGGGGTGAAATTGAACCAATTGGCCTGACATTTACTCCAGCGCCGAATAATATTTTTTAAAACAATTAATTACACATTGGAAATGGGCCTACATGTAGCCTAATTGTGTAATAACCATGTTGTGCTACTACTTTATACTTATTCTACATTTCAGAGGATTTCAAATTTGTATGAGCACTTGTATAGTTTCTAGTTTCTCATTACGCAAATACAAAATGGTTGCATGAAAGGATGCACTACTATACTACGAATCTAGACAAAGTAGTATAACGTTGAGTATAATTACTAAACACACTTAAACTATACTACTTTGTGTATATATATATATATATATATATATATATATAACTCAAAATAACAAATGGGTAAACATAACAAAAATCTAATAGGGCCATGATATTTAAACCTGTTGAACGCATTTTAATTTGACTTGCTTGCTTTAATTGTCCTATAACCTGCTGGAAACATGGTCACCTCTTTTACAAATGATAACACAAGCTTTTAACCTCTCAAAATGAACTATATTGAGGGTTTTCCAAGCTGTAAACTTAGTGGTTTAGGTGGAGACAGCCAGGCTAAAGGCTATAACCCAACATGTGCAGAGACAGGCCTCAGCATCATGCCGTCCGGGCTGTTCTGATGTTCTGGGTTTCTCAAACTAGGTGTTCAGTTACCGACCACCAGGAGCTCAGAGACGCAGCCAGGAGGTGCAGGTTACTGTGGAAGGTGAGCACGCTCTGTGGGGGCAACATGGATCAATAGATTGAACAAACAGCAGCCCTAGTTGAATTTCTTATGTTCTGTGTTGTAGGGTGATGACGACAGCCTGCTAAACTTTTGATTAGAATCTAGGTCTGTCATGTTGACGTACGAGGAAATGGCTTGTATAAAAGGCTCTGTATTGGGTTTGAATCACAATGGTGGCTTTGTTCATGCTCATCTATTAGGACTGAAGTTCTTACTTTGATTTCCAAAAGTAATTCATTATTTTGAGTAGAATAATTAAGCTTCTTTTGGGTGAAATTATATTTTTTAGGGATTGAATGTATTGTTTTTCTGCAATACTCGCTTTAGAATTTTGGTTGGATCATTATTATTGATAGACAAGAGTTATTAACTTTACTTTTAAATTAATATTTCCATCACTCTTCAAATGAATGATTGAGCTCTTGATAACAGCACTAAAGAACCTTGAGCTTTTGTATATATGTTGAAATTGTAAGTTTTTTATTTATTACATACCCTCCACATAGTGCACCCATATGGCTGGCTATAACCTGGGGACATACATATCTCAGTATTCGTATTGGAATTTAACCATATTTCTTTCAGGATATATACTCTTTACTGCGTGCACAGAGCTTGTTCTGCAGTGTTGAGCCCTCGGGACGGGAGTCGTCCTCCTCTCTGTCACTGTGGTGGGTCAGTTACTGAGCCACCCGAGCTGGAGGTTCAGCTGGTGCAAAGAAAGACAAGAGCATGTTGTGCAACGGGGAACACAAGCACCCTTTTTATAGCTCTATTAGTAGGGGTATAAATCTCACGATTTATATTCTTTTGGTCCAGATTTGATTTAAAATCTATTCTTGATTTAGTACATAGGTGTGGTAATTTCAGCATCTATTCCAGTCTGCTCTGCACGAATAAAAGGTAGTATCAAATGATGGATTTAAAGCAGAGTAAAGTGTAATAGATGTATACTTATTTGGATTTATACTATATCAAATAATTGCATTTGATTCTCAGAAAATGTAACTCGGAAACAAATACATTGTAAATAAAAGGACTTGGAATTTGGATTATTCAAAAAAATAATTACAAAATATTGGCCAAACATTTCTGTTCAGTTTTGATATTGAACATTTTATGCTAGATAAACAAATGAGGAGAGATAATACAAACAATCTTATAGTAACGCTGACAGTATAACCATGAGCCAGCACCCACAATGTGTATATTTAACCATTGTATTTAATTTTGATACAATTTATCTACACTGAACAAAAATATAAATGCAACACTTTTGTTTTTGCTCCCATTTTTCATGAGATGAACTCAAAGATCTAAAACATTTTCATATACACAAATAACCATTTCTCCCCTCAAATATTGTCTTGACAAATTTGAAAAAATCTGTGATAGGTGAGCACTTCTACTTTGCCGAGATAATCCATCCCACCTCACAGGTGTGGCATATCAAGATGCTGATTAAGGAACAGCATGAATTATTTGCACAGGTGTGCCTTAGGCTGAGCCACAATAAAAGGCCACTCTGAAACGTGCGTATTTGGCTTTATTAAGGGGGGGGTCTGGGGGGGGGTCCAAAAACCAGTCAGGTTTAACCCTAACCCTAACATGTCACCCACTGACACATTAAAAAATGTTTTAGGGTTTAACCAGTCATGTTTAACCCTAACCCTAACATGTCACCCACTGACACATTAAAAAATGTTTTAGGGTTAAACCTGACTGGTTTTCGGACCCCCCCAGACCCCCCCAATAAAGCAAAACTGCACGTTTCAGAGTGGCCTTTTATTGTGGCCAGCCTAAGGCACACCTGTGCAATAAACATGCTGTCTAATCAGCATCTTGATATGCCACACCTGTGAGGTGGGATGGATTATCTCGGCAAAGGAGAAGTACTCACTATCACAGATTTTTTCAGATTTGTGAACAATATTTGAGAGAAATGGTTATTTTGTGTATATAGAAAGTGTTTTAGATCTTTGAGTTCATCTCATGAAAAATGGGAGCAAAAACAAAAGTGTTGCATTTATATTTTTGTTCAGTGTATGTACTGTTCTCCTTCTGTCTTTTTATATATTTGACTTTTAAGACACTATGCCAACATATGATAAAGCAGATTAAGAAATATTTATTTAAAAAATATATATATATTTGTTTTTAATTCTTGATGTGGAGCTGTAATGAACACGTTTTGCACAAACAGTTGTCAGCTGTCTTAATCTACTGAAGAGGGTTAAAAAACAATGTTTGGTTTCAAATATGAAGTTCTTATATTTCACCCACAGGTGGTGCTGTAATTCTAAACACCATGCTGTTCAATCTTCCACCTGGCTCTCAGATAGGAAAGTCATGTTACAGCTGTTACAATGACTGTTTTTACTTATTGCCATAACTTCAATACCTATAGATTAATGTTTAATTTTGACACAACTGAACAAAAATTCTCATAGCTGCCATTCCTTTCTTTGAGACTCACATTCTGCAACTAACAGTTCTTTTTATTATAAAGAAATCTGCGTATTATGTTCATAGTTTTGAGTGTCAGAATAAAATACCCATTAGCATTTCTTAATGTCCAAGGTTATGTGTTGAAATGTCTTTGTCTGACTAACACGCCATAACACCCCAAAAATAAGTTTCTGTAAATCTTCCAAATCAAAGGGTTGGAACTAAGTTTAGTATTTCTTCTTCAAAAGTTTGTATGGAAATAGTTACGGTTAAATGTTTAAACTTATCGTTTTCGCACTTATTCACAATAATCCACACTGGCTTCTATTATTGAACTGTGCCATGGAAATACATAATGTCCCTCCTCAGTCATGACCCCCATGCACAAACAAACCATGGGGCTCAGATGAGTGAAGTGTCAGAAGGTCAGAGGTCAGGGGAGCTTGACGCCTGAGTTGACAGGGATGACTGTTTACAGGCAGCGAGGAGGAGGAGAAAGGGGGGCACAGAGGGAAGGTGAAACTCAGGGAGAGGGAGAAGGAGCGACGTTGGCAGACGTGCCATGTTTACTGTCTTTCCTAGTAAGAGCCCAAGTGTGAACCGTAATGTGTATGTTGGTTGATGTAACCTCCGGCCTTCAAGGCACACAAGCCTGGGCCTCGCCTGATCCTGGCGGCTGACACTGAGGTGTGAAGTCAGGGTACGCGATGGGGAGGAGGGCGCCTCATGGTGAGGTTGCCGCCTCATGGTGAGGTTGCCATGGATTGAACAAAGAAACACTGTGAGCTTCCAGATTTCAACCACAGTTTTTTTTAATACCATGTTGACTACATGTGCGGTATCGTAAAACTTGAACTGATTTGTTTGATTTAAACAGATGTTACAGAAGGTTGGATGTCTTTAAAGTTGATTGAGTTAATTTGTGGATATTTCAGTACCACCTAAGAGTTTTTGTTATTTACAATGCAAAAACTTTGACTTATTAGCGTCATAAAACGTGAGGCCATGCAGAGGAATACCTATGCCCTTCCTTTGCCTATAGACTATAGGAAAAGGAAGAAAGAGTGGAGGGGACAAAAAGTGATTGAGAGAGGGAAAACAGATGGGAAGATTGAATTTTAGAGGGCAGGCGGAGGAGGAGTGTGAAGGAAATCTTTTTTGTGTATGTCTGGAGAGAATGGGAGCCTCTTATACACCTCACAGCGTGAATTTGGCCCGGGCTGCGGGTTCGTCTCGTCTACCCAGCGGGGGGTTTTCCTGAGCGGGCTGCCCAGGGGAGGGGCACCTGCAGCAGCCTCAAACACTGGTCAAGAGGAGAGGCGGGGCGACGGCTGTGGGATGGGAAGATGCTTGA